ATTTGTGAAGGGTGAGGAAGAATAGAATATTTTGATAGATGGAAAATTGATTGTTTGGATTGTTTATTAAATTATTGAAACGAGAAATTTCTTTTATCATTTTTCAAGTAATTTGTAATTATTATTGAAGATGTGATGGATCTTTTGATAAAAGATTAATATTTAATTAAAATATTTTTTTTATACATCTATTAATAATAAGAGAGGAGATTTTGTTTATAAAACAAGAGAGTATGAAATAAATTCATTCCCAAGAATTTGCTTCTTTCAACTCTTTATACGCAAATTCTGACATGAAATTATCTCCATCCAAGATTTAAAATTTAATTTAAAGAAACTTTTTTAATTAATTTAAAATTTCAAAAATATAGAACGGAACAACTTCTCCCTTTTGTCCAAGAATTTCGAACGAGCAACTTCCGTTAAGAATTACATCGATTAATCTCTCTAGAAAATCTCTCTCCTTATTTACCAAGACGAGTAGCATAATAGACAGCAGGAGCGAAGAATGTGGAACGAGCTGGTTACTTGACCCGAGAACCTTTGAATTAATCGTGGGAATGTTAGAATACAGCAATAATTGAATCTTCGTGGCGCCATTTTAGCCCCCAACGATTCTTAATTACATCATGCAGTCTTCATTCATCTCTCTTCATTTTTTAAAAATAAACACGCCCTGTACATCGACTGAAGAAATCATCATATACAAGAAATCTGTATACTATTAATACCATTTCTCGTGTTAACACTATTACTAATTCTTCATATGCAATTCTTCTCTCTAATCATCTCTAAAAAAGAGGAAGCACACTTTATGCATCGATTAAATAAATTTTATGAATCATACAACGAATTAATCGATTCTCATTTTACGTATCAATATCCTTTATAGCTATTCCATTGCTGTCATTAAGCTGCAACGATATTCAATTACCATCTAAAAAGGAGCCTATACTAAAAAATACTTTGCCTCGAAAATTACATCGTTGCTACTAAATCACTACCTCTCATCCCCTTAAAAAAAAAAAAGAAAAATAAAATAACACACCCTAATGACACACCGATTAAAAAAAGAAACCATGGTGCATGCAAAAAACTTATTCATCACCAACCCAACTATGCAACATCGGCAAACTATCCTCTCCGAAAACCAACCCCTTCCATCCACCTCGAACAATCTCTATTCGCCGCGGCTCGTCGCGGTAACGCCGTCGGAAACGAGACGTCTCCTTGCACCCTATTCTCCCGCCTTTCGCCACCCCACACCACCCCCGATGGCGAAACGAGGTCCGTGAAAAACCAGACGCCGCTTACTTTCGAAAATTTCCTTGCACGCTGGTCAGGCACGACCTTCTCTCTCTCGGTCGTCGAGGGATCGTTGAACGAGGGTGAAGAGGGTAGGAGAAGGGGGAGGGGACCACAGGGTGAGAAGGATACGGTGTGTTGAACCGGGTGGAGGATGGAGAGAGATGGGAGAGGAGGAATGGGGCGACGGGGGAGGGTGGAAAGGAGGGGGTTGGCGCGGCGGTCGGCAAGGACTACGAG